GGTTGGGGAGGTCCCTGTGGTAGAGGCACTGAGTGGGTTCGTAGAGGAGGTGAGACCAGCAAGAGGAGAGAGGAAGGAGGAGCTGGGCGCTGGGCCCAGAGGTGGGCAGGCCCTGGCCTGGGAGACTGGGCTTGGGGCTGGGGCAGGCCCCAGGTGGAGCCCCGCCTGTCCTGTACCCTGCTCCAGGATTACTACTACCTGTCGGTGAAGGCCCTGTACACGGTTGGCTACAGCACGTCGCTCGTCTCCCTCACCACTGCCATGGCCATCTTGTGTCGCTTCCGGTGAGATCTCCAGCCCCAGCGCTGCTCCAGTGAGCGCGGCCACCCCAGCTCAGGGCCTGTGCTGCACCCCCCGGATGTCAGTCCTGGGACTGCATCGGGAGGCGTCTCCCCCCTCCTAGGATAACTGATGGGAAACCTGACTGCGGGAGAGGGCAGCGGGCCTGCCCAGGGCGGGAGACCTACATGCCTCGCGTGTATCTTCCTGGTCTAGATAGAGGGGTCATTGGAGGGAGGAGTTTGGCCTTGAGTCACGGGGCTAGGTGACGGGGGCCACTGGTAGCCGGGGACTCCCCTGTGTGATCCCATGCCTGTCCCCTGGCGTGTGCACGCCCTCGGCAGAGCAGGTGAAGGTCAGGTGGAAAGGCACGGCCCACCTGGCTGAGGAGGAATACAGGCTCAGCCTGAACCTTAAAGAGGCGGGAGGAAGAGGGTGGTCTAGAGGGAAGGCCCCGTGGACACAAGGCCATGTGGTTGGCCCAGAGCAGCCCCCGCGTCGGGTCGCCGTGCTGCAGGCTCGGCGCTCCAAGGCCTCTCCCTCCGCCGGTGCAGGAAGCTGCATTGCACGCGGAACTTCATCCACATGAACCTGTTCGGGTCGTTCATGCTGAGGGCCATCTCCGTCTTCATCAAGGACTGGATCCTGTACGAGGAACACGACAGCAGCCACTGCTTCGTCTCCACCGTGAGTGCGCTGGGCCCTGCCGGACTCGCCATCCTGGGGCACCCGCCACCTGGGGCTTTCCTGTAGGTTAACCATTGCCCCCAGCGAGCACAGCATCCAGGAGAGATCACGAGGCCACCCGTAGCCACCTGGCATGTGCATGCCCTCGGCAGAGCAGTGGAAGGTCAGGTGGGAAGGCCGGGCCCGCTTGGCTGAGGCGGAATGCAGGCTGAGAGAGGGCTTGCCCGGCCGTGACGGAGCCCCGAGGCTGGCGGGCTGGCTGGCAGGCCTTCTCTCTAGCCCACCTGCCTCCCTAGACCTCCAGCCTTCGGAGGTCAGCAGAGAAGACAGGCTTAGATGGGGCAGGATGACAGAGCAGCCCGGAGCACAGGGCCTTGACCCGGGAGGGCACACGTGGAGGAGGTCTCCGTGAGATTTCTGGGGACCAGGGGTATCCCCCACCCCTGTGATATCTAAAGCCCTCCTTTGATCAAGGGGCCTCCCATAGGGACCTGCCTACTCCTCTAGCCTGTGGGGCCGGGGAAGGGGTCGGAAAGGGGAGAATGAGCCTGGGGAGGGGTGGGGCTCTGTGCTCACCCCCACCCTGTCTTTTCCCACATGGGCAGTGTTGCCTCCATGGGCAGCTTCCGCTCCGAAGCATGGGCTGCTGCAACTTTAAACTCTTCGGAGCCAGGAATGTTGAGTGTTTCAGACCCATGGGGTGTGTGAGCCTGAGCTTCAGGGCCCCTGGGGTCCTCTCTGGTCCCAGGGCTGATTTTGGGGGGGAGGCAGGGGATGGGGCTCACACCTCTCTCCCCCTCGGCCCTCCTGGCAGGTGGAATGCAAGGCCGTAATGGTTTTCTTCCACTACTGCGTCGTGTCCAACTACTTCTGGCTGTTCATCGAGGGCCTGTACCTGTTCACCCTGCTGGTGGAAACCTTCTTTCCTGAGAGGAGATACTTCTACTGGTACACCATGGTTGGCTGGGGTAGGTCACTGGCGTGGCCTCAGGGCCGGATGTCCTCAGCATCCCACGGGGGTGTCAGGTCAGGGGAGGAGACACTTCCCGTCCCCGCTGATGGCACACATCTGCTCCTTGGAGTCTTCCTTGCTCTTCTGTCCACAGAAAGTCCACCTTCTGAGAGGACATGCTCCATCTGGAGTCCTTCTGGGAGGAGATAGCCCACGGTCTGGGGGAGACACGAACCCCTGGGTGGAACAGATAGTCAGGGTCCCCAAAACTCCAGGTCCGAGAGGGGTCATGCCTGTGGGTCAGAACCCCATGTCTGAGTGGGGACATTAGCCACCAGGAGCCCCAAGTCTGAGGGGACACTGGATCTGTTGGTGTTCCTGTTGTCACGGGGCTCCTTTTGTTGCTCTTGCAGGGTCCCCAACGATCTGTGTGTCAGTGTGGGCTGGGCTGAGGCTCTACTTTGATAATACAGGGTGAGTGCGGGCCCCAGAGATTGGGCCGGAGCCCCAGGGAGGGTCCTCCATGTGGGTTCTCCCCAGCTGCCCCAACTCCACGTTAACTGCCCCAGATAAACCAACCAACGCCGGGCCCAGACTGGACCCCCAGCCCTGGGCATCCACTGTGCCCTGTGCCCACCACAGGTGGATCCGCCCAGCCACGTCTCAGCTGGGCAGTGGGAATGGGCATGGTCAGAGCCCCGCTCTGCGCCTGGGCCCAGCGCTGAGCATCTGTCTTCCTTTTAGGGAGGGAGGAAGAAGTTTCAGGGGAATGCCCCCCATCCAAAAGTCCCAGGTCTGAAGAGAGAATGTGGCCCTCTCCCAGGAGCCCTTAGGTGACTCTGACTCTTGGGCTTCAATCTCTGCTGTGACAGGGGAGCAGAGGGAAGGCCCACGGTACCTGAGAGCTCTCCTGCCAGCCGCCCCTCCTCAGGGAGCTGCAGGCAAAGAAGCACCACCCAGGGGCCAAGGACATTGTCCTGCAGGCATCCTGTCCCCTGAGCATAATCTCTCCCTTCTCTCCCTCTCAGCTGCTGGGACATGAATGACAGCACTCCTCTGTGGTGGGTGATCAAAGGCCCTGTGGTTGGTTCCATAATGGTGAGTGTCCCTGGGACAGAGCAGGGAAGATGGTGGCTTGGGCGCAAAGGCATTTCAGGAGAGGAAGTGAACAGGTCGCTGGCCAAGCCAGCCTCCTTTTTCCTGGCTGTGTTATATTCTGCAACATGGACATACATGTGATTTAGCTGTCCTGAGAGTGGGCCATTTATACCACCCCAGTTTTCCTCATCACACAAGATACTAGTAAGGACAGTTCTGCGTATCTGAGATTTATTTAGAAAAAAATCCTTAGAATGGGAATGGCTGGGTCAATTGTCTGCTGCACTTGTAATATTAAAATCATTTACATTTTTGCACAGTCTTACGGGGGGTAATGGTTGCTCAGTGCCTTAATGCACATTTCTCCATATTGCTAGTGCTGCAGGGCATTTTTCCAAACATTTATTGACAATTTGTTTTTATCCTGGTTATTTCCTTTTTATTTATCTTTTGGCTTATTTTTCTAGCCTAGTTGTGGTCTTTCTTCTGTTTGAAGGATTGTAACGCTTCATTTGGTAAACATGCTGTAAGTGTATTTCCAAGATGGCATAAATCTTATGCAGTCAAAGCATCGACGTTCTCTTTACACATTCTGAGCCTCATTTCTTGTTGAAGAAGGACTTTCCGGACCTATGATAGAAAGATAACGCTTCTTAATTGTTTTGTCACATTTTTGTTGATCGGGCTATTACATGCTTTAAACCACCTGAAATTTTATTTTCTTGATCTGAAATGATACCCAGTTTTATCTAATTTTATTTTTCCCCCCCAATGGATAGATGTTCCAGCCTCTCAATTCTGTGTATTAAATAGATCATCCTTTCTCCATTATCCTGAAATGCCATTGTATCCTAAACACTCACTGTATCCTATTTGGTTCCAGATTTTCTATTCGCTGTTGCTAATCTACTAGCTTTTCCCACGGCCAGCACCCCCTCAGGCTGGTTACTGTGACATTGTGGCATGTTTTCATAGGTCCTCTCATGGTGCCTCCTTTTTATTGATTTGCTAGCCTTTCTCACAGAGCAGCACATTGCTTCCCACTTGGTCTAGAGCTTTTGCCCCTGATCTTCATCTGCAGGTAACTGCTGTTACTATTCCCAGGCAGGCCTTTAATGGATAGCGCGTGTGGCTGTCCACTCCAGCTGCCCACATTCAGCGACTCTAAACTTGGAGTTACTCCAGAGGGCAGCTCTCACCTCTGCAGCAGCTTCTCTGCCTGGCTTTGGAAGGTTTCCATCACCCCGACCCTATGTGCCCTTTCTCTTCCAGAAATGGCTCACTTTCCTGGGCCGCTCAGGACACTCTTTCCCGTTTCTCAGCCCTGTGGAATTCTTTTCCTTCTATCGCTCCTATCATCGCAACCGTGCGGACGTCACCTTGGATTACGAGTCTCGATGGCACCTCCGTGGGACGGGGGAGGGCCCCGTTGGGGGACCGGCAGCCTGGGCACAGGCCACGGTGTGGAAGCCTCTGCCCAGAGTCACCTCCCTCTGCTCTTCCTCCGCCCCTCAGGTGAACTTCGGGCTCTTCGTCGGCATCATCTTCATCCTCGTGCAGAAGCTTCAGTCTCCGGACATGGGAGGCAACGAGTCCAGCATCTACTTGTAAGTACCGCGGGGTGAATGCCACCACCACCCCGACGGCTGTGTGGGCCCCTGCACAGGCCACGGGAGAGGCCTGGGTTTTGGGGACGGGGTAGCCTAGTGTGGCCATTTGCAGGGTCTCTTTCTGATTAAAGTGCCTTTAAAATCTAGTCGCCCGCCTGTCCTCAGCCAACCCAGGAGCTCCTGGGACAAAGAGATGGAGGAGACTGACAGATGTCGTGTCACCCTGGGAGAGTCAAGATGGAAGTTGTCAGACGCCCGAGGGTAGTTAGGTCTTGGTTGTTCGGCAGTCGGATTTCCTTTGGGGATCTTGGTTCTTTGGGAAGCTCATGACGCCCCTGGTTGCCTGCTGCTCCCATCCCAGCCCACGTGATGCTCCAGCCCCGCCAGCGAGTCCCATGGGCATTCTCGCTGGTCTGGGCCATGGGAGGGGGGTTCTTTTTCTTGGCCTCCCCTTGGAGCAGCTCCGCCTCTGGGTCTGGCCCTTGCGCTATGACTCCCTCTTCCCCCAGCGAAGGAGCATCTGATATGTTTGGATCGATGGAGTTCGTGGGTGACCTCTTACTGCTGAGCGTAGGGTTTTCTTCACTCCCACTGCCTTTGGTCTGTTTCCTACACGTGTATTGCAGTCGTGTCCCCAACAGCTTCTCCCTGCTCGCTTCTCCCCACCCCTCTCCTGGCGCCCGACCCCTTCTGAATCAGACGGAGGGCCTGCCATCTCATCTTCTTGCCTTGCGGGCAGAAGCATGACCAGCCAGGTGTGCGGGCTGTGGGGGCACTTCTAACGCTGGGGCAGAACGTCAGACCCCTGTGGTTGGCTGGAGGGGCCGGATGGGCACAGAGGATCTGGGGGCAGTCTCGGGGGTCTGTCCGTGGGCAGGGTATAAGCCACATGTGTTGCTTCAGGCTTTAAAGAGGACAGCAGGTTAGAAGGTGCTGAGCTATTCTCATTGTATCCGTGAGGGGCTCTGTCCTACCTTCATCAGAGACCCCAACCTGGGGCTCAGAACTTGAATATCTGCCCCGGGGGACAAGTAGGGCAGCAGGGAGGGCCTAACAGGGGGCTCCCCACCTAGTCATTCTGCTGGAGAGAGAGAGGGAGGCAGGAGCTCAGAGACCCATCGGCATCCTTTCCTGAGGCTCCTCGGGGCTTCCCTTGGTCTGTGTGCCCAGCCCAGGCGCCGCCCCCTGTGGCAGCCCTTACCCTGGGGTGGGAGGTCAGCACAGGGCCTGGCTTCCTAAGCTTTGTTTTTTCTGCGTAGAGGATGATTGCATTACAGTGGAAAGACCTCTCTTCATTTATTCATTCACTGTTTTTTCATTCTTTTGCAAGTTTCTACCCACCTCTGCTTATATGTGTATGTTATATAGTCAAAAGTTATTCATCATCATATGTCATTAAGTCTCCGATGCCCTGCACTGGGGAACCAGTGCGGCCTGTTTTCTGCAACTAACTAAGCGCCCTAGAGAGGTCGTTCCTGCCTCGTCTCAGGCCCCACACAGCAGGGCCTGCTGCCTCCTCACCTCCCTGTCCAGCATCAGAAACTGTGTCCTTGTGTCTGGCTGCAGTTTCCCCTGCTCGAGGGTGGATTGGCTCCCAGCGAGCACTTATCTCAGAGGCCTGAAGCCAGTGTGTAGCTAAGGCAGCCTCGTCCCTCCTCTGAGCTCCGGCAGCCTCAGTTACCCTTCCCTGCTTCCTCGTAGGATCTGTTTCCCCTCCGGAGGTCCTGGGGCCTCTCCTCTGGGGGTTCTTCCAGCGTCCCCTCACCCTGCCTGTGCAGAGACACACAGGGGCTCAGCTGCGTCCTGAGTAAGGACACTGCTGATGCCAGAACACACTTCAGTATTGTTGTGTCTTGGGGAACAGGGGAGCCGGAGGAGAGGGAGAGGGACCGGGGAACTGGCAGTCGCTGGAGCAGTCAGAACACACGCAACATCTATCGATTAAGTTTGCCTTATATGGGCACGGTTTGTGGTGCCCCAAAACAATTACGATAGTAACATTGACGATCACCGATCACAGATCTCGGTAATAAATGGAATAGTAATGACAGAGTTTGAAATGTTGCAAGGATTACCAAAATGTGACAGACACGAAGGGAGCAAACGCTGTTGGGAAAACGATAGACTCAGTGGAGGCAGGGTTGCTACAAACTTTCAATTTGCAAAAAAGAAAAAAGCCCTGTCTGCGAAGTACAATACGAGGAGGGCTGCCTGGACGCTTAAGCGCAAGTGTTTAAGGAACCAGCTAATCGGTTTGCTTCTACTGTGTAAAAAAATTCCCCTTCCAATCTCGGCAAATCCTTTTCATAGAGAAAGTGAAACTGTGCTCATCTCAAGCCCAAAGGTTAGAAACTCGTGGTCTACCCACCAGGTGGGGAGGGTGATCCGATTGAATTCAGGGATGAGCGTGGGGGTTTCCAGGTTCAAAAAGGCCCTGGTGGTGAAAGTGAGGGGTGACCAAAGGGACAGCGCTGCTCAGAGCTTAGAGCTTGGAAACCACCTGCAACTCAGTCCCTGCACAATTTGTAATTGTTGTTAATCCTCCCCCAAGGATATTTTTTCCATTGATTTTTAGAGAGAGTGGAAGGGAGGGAAGGAGGGAGAGAGAAACATCGATGTGAGACACACTGATTGGTTGCCTCCCGCAGGCAGCAGGGTCAGGGCCAGGGATCAAACCCACAACCCCGGTACATGCCCTTGATCGAGACTCGAACCCAAGACCTTTTGGTGCTCTGGCCGATGCTTTAACCGCGGAGCCACACTAGCCAGGGCAGTGCATGCACATTTAATACTCACGAGCACCCAGAGGATCTGGCGAGACAGGTATATGAAGTGCGTGTATGCGAAATATACTGTCTGTGTCACAGCGGAGGGAGCTGGCTATAGGAAAGCTGGAGGGCACAGTGACCCTGCAGGCAGGCCCCTGACCCCAGGCCTGACTGCACCATCGTTCCCTCCTCAGGGACTTCCCAGTCAGGAAGACGGTGTTAAGCAAGTACGTAAACGAGGCTTCCTGGAAGAAAAGGCCCCAGTGGGTCCCAGCCTTGTACGGAACTGCCCACCCGGCAGGCATGGAGCTGACAGATGTCCCCTGTGGGAGAGGGGAGGCTGCGGGGGACTGGAAAGGGCAGGGTGTGGTGGGAGAGATTTTAGGGCCATGCCTGAGTCCCCTCGGGCCACCAGGGTTATGTGTGGGGCTGAGAAGCCCTTCGGATCCACCAACAGCTTTTCGGTTTTCTCCTCTGTTTCCAGAACAAATGTAAGCCTGGGAGTCCCCAAGAAAGCCCGAGAGGACCCCCTGCCTGTGCCCTCAGCCCAGCATTCACTCCCTTTCCTGTAGGTTGGTGCCAGCTGCTCAGGTGATAAGGGTTTGTCCTCTGTAGACCAAGACTGCGCTCGCTCCCGGCCGGCCCCAGAAGGACCTGTTGGGCTGGGCGGGGGCCCTGAGCCACCCACACTCTTGCCTGGAGAACTCACAATGAGTACCTGGGCCAGGACTTGGGCATGGAGTCTGGGCCGGGGTCAGGGCTCAGCGTGTGCTCAGGCTCCACTTGGTCTTGGGCAGGGGTTAGGGCTCAGCTCGGGGCCGGGGTCAGGGTTAGCCTGCCTTTTCCTGGGGACCAGAGTTTTTCTTTTGAGAGCCCTCCCCTGTGCCAGGTTCCCCCGTTTCCTCCCCCACCCCAGCCCCCATCAGAGGCACATGTCTTTACCAGCAGCTGAGTTCCGCCTCAAGCACACTTTGAAGAAATCAGAGTCTATTTTTACTGTATCCAGAGTCCTGGAAGGGCAGGGACAATTTGGGAGCTCCGGGAGGAGAGGCCTCACAGAACAGCTGAGGGTTTAGAATTCTGTGTGAAAGTGGAAGCCTAGTGTGTAGGAGGTGACATTGGCAGTCTGGGCTCTCGGGCCCCTGGACCCCGATTTCTGTGCCTCACGTAGGCCAAGGTTGAGGGATCAGGACGGCTTCCATTCCTGAATAGCCAGCCAAGCTTTTAAAATTACATACTTATATGTGCGTAATTGAAAGAACAGCATACATACATGTGTCCGCCTGTCCCTATGTATACGAAGCATTCGTTGACGTTCATTGAAGACACAGGAGGAAATTTCTCACATACCCGGGGGTCTTGTTAAAGTGCAGATTCTGAGCCAGCAGGTGCGGGGG